CCATGTGCAGTATAGACACTGGCTCACGGCGCGACTCCAGGAACCTATGTTGCCGCTCCACGTTTTAGCTGTTCCAGGCACACACTTGGGCACCAAACCATGCAGGCTTTGCTGGAACCGCTGTGAAGGTGATGAGGCAACCCTTGTACAAATCTGTTCGTTACTCGAGTGAAAGCCACACTGCGTCTAGAGATGACACTGTCAGATGCACAGCACAGACTCTTCTATCTCACTTATTCTAATTCCTTCAGTTTCAAAACAACAAGGTCTTCACTTAACTCCTCTGCCCTTGGGTTTCTCCATCTACCAAATGAGGGAAATAACCAGGCTTGATGAGAATTAAGAAAGTTAACGTACATAGAGCACAGCCTCATACACAGCAAACACTCAGTACGTTTTAGCTGCTTTTAGTGTACCTAGCTGACAGTGAATGGTAGCACATGGATACCTACTTCCTATTTAAGATAAATAATATAAGTGCTTCCTGGCTTAGTTTCTTCTTCGTTTGAGTGAGTACACTGAAGATTTCCACAGGTGAAGTAACAAGCATGAGAATGAAGGAGAGCTGGGCTACTCAGGCCACAGAGGCTCTGGTTTCCCTCTAAGAATTTGATTCTTCAGCTGTCCTGTTGTGTTAGTCAGCTTTCTGTGACTGTGACAAAATATCTGAGAAAATTAAGTCACATGGAAGAAAGTTTTTTATCTAGGCTCACAGCTTCAGAGGTCTCAGTCCACAATCGCTTGGGCCCATCACTTTGGTCTGTGGCGAGCAGAACATCACGGCAAGGAATATGTACAGAAGTACCTCAGCTCACAAACTTAATTTGTTCTATGATTTTGGAAAAGAATTTTCAAACAAAATGAAATTTTGCCAATTTCTTCTGTTTGCAAACCAAACTGTTTGCAAACAAAAGCGTTCCTGAACTGAGGTACCATTGGGGTGGAACGAAGCTACTAATCTCCTGGTGTCTGGGGAGCAAGAGAAAGAGGAAGGGGCCAGGATCCCCATATATCATCTTTCCAGGGCACATTTCCATGACCCAACTACTTCCAAGTAGTTTCCTCCTGAAGTTTCCATCACCTCCCAAAGGGTCCCCAACACCATTAATATAGCTTGGTTGATGACTAAGTCTTCAACATTTGAGGTTTGGGGAACATTTAAGATCCAAACCACAGCACCCATTCAACATGGTATCCTCAGGGCTGGGGATTTAGCTCAGCGGTTCGGTGGCCTGCCTCACAAGCGCAAGGACCCGAGTTCGATCCCCGGTACCAAAAAACAAAAACCAAAACAAAAACAAAAACAAACACAAAACATGGTATCCTCAGGGCTGGGGATTTAGCTCAGCGGTTCGGTGGCCTGCCTCACAAGCGCAAGGACCCGAGTTCGATCCCCGGTACCAAAAAACAAAAACAAAAACAAAACATGGTATCCTCAGCACTGGGTGTCCGATCAATACTGGCTACTGAATGAATTCACAAATTTACGAATGCATCCAAAGATAGAAGTAGAGAATGGCCATAAGGGAAGAAGTCTGGCTGGCGTTTTGGGATTTCCAGAAAAAGGGAGAGAAAGACTTTAAACAGAGAGAGGAAGGTTGTGGAGTAAGTGTAGCTGTTGCCCAATGCACTGAGACTCCAGGCCTGGAGACAGAGAGGGAGCTGGACAAGCAGGTCCAAAGAATCACAGTCTGTGTTTTGAACAAAGTCAGCTATCTTAAGGAGGCAGTAGAGAGTGTTTCTTTGTGACAGCAATAGTCTACAGAGGTTTCCAGTTTTAAAAGGTTCATTCTGAAGGTGTCACAAAGAACACCTTATTAGAGTGTCTGTCTCCCTGAAAATGAATCCTCCTTCTTTTGTGCTCAGGGTGTTTCCCTGTTAATAAAAGCCTCCTGCAATGACCCCCAGTTGTTTCACAACCTCCCTGAAAGTAAAAGATGCTCATTGTTCAGGTCCCCCACCTTCCTCAACACACTCTGTCCCAGTTGGGGTCACAGAAATGCCATTTCTACTAAACCATCACCGTTGAGTCAAGAGACAAGTTGCAGCAACTGTCTTTATTTTTGTCTCTTCATTTTATTTATTTAGGTTGAAATAGCTTTCAACGAAATCCAACCAGCATTTAGCCCGCACTCACTCTGAGCAAAGCATCATCACAAGCGACACAAAGGCAAGGAGGGGCGGTTTCTCAGCTTTGAAAACCTTCCGCTTGCAGATTCTTACGCTGATTGGCAAATTACTTCAGTATCACTTTTTAGGGTATAGGCTTCTTTTACCTGCTTTGTGTGCTCTACAATTCGGTGGAAGTTGGATCTGAGAACATTAAACAGAAGTCTCCAAGAAATCCTCTCAACCTCTCCATCTGTAAATTCTCTTTATATTTTATAGCTCTCACAGCACTTAGCATTTTTAATTGTTTTTTTGTTTTTGTTTTTCATTGCTACAGTCTGGGGAGGAGGCAGGCACAGGGACCGGTGCTGAAGAGAAGAGACAGAAGACCTGTGCTTGAATTTGAAGCCAGGCTCAGATTCAACTGTAAAATCTCGGCCACTAATCTCTAAGATCCTCAGTTCCGCTTTTAGAATTGGAAGATGAAAAGACTGTCATAGGATGGATGTGGAAATTAGTTACATGAACTTACTTCAAGAACTAGTATCAGGCTGGGGTCTTAGCTCAGTGATACGGCCGTCTGCCATGCAAGCGCAAGGTCCTGAGTTCGATCTCTGGTGCCAAAAAAAAAAAAAAAAAA